GTAATAGTAGTAGTAGTAGTATATAGTGGTGGTGTTAGTGTGGTAATAGGGTAGATGTGGTGTAGTAATATGGTGTAGTAATAGTAGTGGTGGGTAGTGTGGTGGTGTGGTAGTGTGGGTGGGTAGTCGTGTGTTAGTGTAGAATAGTATGTGTAGTAGTAATAGTGGTAGTAGTAGTGTAGTGGTAATGGAGGTAATAAAGTAGTAGTAGTAACAGTAGTAGTAGTAGCAGTAGTAGTAATAGAGTAGTATAGTAGTAGTAATAGTGGTAGTAGTGGTGGTAGCACGAATATGGTAGTAATATGTAGTAGTAATAGAAGTAGTATAGTGGTAGTAGCAGTAGTAGTAATGTAGTAATGGATAGTAAGTAAAGTGGTGGTGTAGTAATAGTAATAGAGTTGTATAGTAGTGTGGTAATGGGGTAGTGGTTAGTGGTAAAGAGAAAGGAATATAACAGTAGTAGTAGTATGGTAATAGAAATAGTAGATAATGGTTAGAAGACATGTTAGTAATAGTATACACTTGGATTTATTGGGGTTTCGCACAACATAGGGTTAGTCATCATAGGATGAGAAATTGAAGAAGTAGATAGTGGTAAGTTAACTTTAGTATGTTATATATTAATGAAGTAGATATAGGAGAGAGTAATAGTATTAGAGGTGCAAGAGTCATAGGTGTGTAATGGTTAATGTAAGTGGTAACCAAGAATTAGGCAAGCGAAGTTAAGTATTAAGTCCGAAGTGAGTTCTAGAAATTGTAATGATGGTTAGAGAGACAGTGAACATATTAGACATCATCTAAATCTGTAGATGCTGGTTATAAGGATCGTTGTAATCTGGGCAGTAATTTGAGTATAATTAACATATGATCTGACTTAATATACGGTTTCATAGCTCTTCTCGACCCACTCAGTTCTTCATCTAACAGTAATTAGACTGGTTACTCATACCTCAATTTTTAAAGTTCTCTGTTGGACCTGTAAGCCACGGGGAAGTTCCTCAATGATCCCAGATGACCAAAATGATAAAAGGGGGTCGTAGTAGTAGTACATAATGGACGTATAGTGTGTAGAGTAATACATTTGTCATATTTCCTGGACAACCTTACCTAACCTAACCTAACAGTAATATATAATAACACATATAATAACACATAATAACATACACAATATCAAGAAGAATCTCTATACTAATTACTACATTCCTTAGAATATAGTAAACCAGTTCATGTCTTCGAGAGTACCATGACAGCAGTAACTGCCCTTCCTACCTCCCACATATAACACATCATAACAGTGTCTTTCAACATGTGACGTAAGACAATGTTAGGTCAGCCTGCACTCCACCACACAAACTAATTAAAATAAAAATCATGGTTTCTTAACTCAAATTGTCCAAAGTCAATATGTATGATTTTTTCTAATATATCCAAGAAACGAATTTCAAATAATTTCAGTAAAGAGATATGATAACAGGTGCATAATTAGAAGACTCAGCAGAGTTATCCTTTCTGAGTCTTTAAGTTCAGGATATATATCACCCTTAAGTAAATCTTTATTACTATACCTATGAATAATATTCATAAAATATGTAATTTTTCAACGAACCGGCAGTATTGTGGCCCGGTGGTCTGGTGGCTACAGCTCCCGCTTCACACACGGAGGGCCCGGGTTCGATTCGCGGCGGGTGGAAACATTTCGACACGTTTCCTTACACCTATTGTCCTGTTCACCTAGCAGCAAATAGGTACCTGGGTGTTAGTCGACTGGTGTGGGTCGCATCCTGGGGGACAAGATTAATTAAGGACCCCAATGGAAATAAGTTAGACAGTCCTCGATGACGCACTGACTTTCTTGGGTTATCCTGGGTGGCTAACCCTCCGGGGTTAAAAATCCGAACGAAATCTTATCTTATCTTATCTTATCCCACCCAGAGAGAGTGATCTAAAAAGAAAAACTGAGGTTTTTCAATATAAATTTAGTGATATATACAGGAGAAGGGGTTACTAGCCACTTGCTCCCGGCATTTTAGTCGCCTCTTACGACACACATGACTTACCCAGGAAAAATTATGTTCTTTGAATGAGTTCCATCGTAAATAAATCAAACACTAAAGGACAAAAAATTAATTTGATATTACCACCAGAGAGACTACAGCAAAATATTGACAAACTTAATAAAACATTGTCTAAGCTTAAACCAAAAAATATATTCTATCATGTTAAGAATAAATTGCACACAAATATTAAAGGTTATACACATAAAGGGACTCCAACTTACTGTTAAGTTGAGTATATACCTAAGATAGTATTACATGACTAATAGTATGATAAGTATATGTAATTAAAGAGTGTCAGTTTGTCTAATGGTGTAAGTGTAAAAAGTGGGTTCGTATCGATGGTAAATAATAGTTTCTGTACAATAATAGTAGTATAGTGAATAGTAGTTGTTGGTATAATAGTACTGGTAGTGGTAGTAGTAGTGGTAATGATATAATTAGCTAGTGGAATAATAGTAGTCCAGTGTATTTTAGTGGTGTGGTAATAATAGTAGTTGTACCTGTAAAATAGGATATTAATAGTAGTAGTAGTGGTAATTAATAGTAGTGTAGGGTAATAATAGTATTTAGTGTAATAATAGTAGTGGTAGTGGTAATAGTAGTTTATGGTAATAATAGTAGTGTAGTGTTAATAAAGTGTGGTAGTGGTAAAAATAGTTTTTGTAGTAGTAATAATAGTAGTGTAAGTGGTAATAATAGTAGTGGTAGTGTAATAAGTAGTGTACTGTAATAATAGTGACTAGTGGTAATAATAGTAGTTGTAGTGTAATAATAGTAGTGGTATGTAATAATAGTAGTGTAGTGGTACCAATATAGTGGTAGTGTAATATAGTATAGTAGTGGTAATAATGTAGTGGTATAGTGTAATAGTAGTTAGTAGTAGTGTGGTAATAATAGTAGTAGTGGTAATAATAGTAGTGGTAGTGGTAATAATAGTTGTAGTGGTAGTGGTAATAATAGTAGTGGTAGTGGTAATAATAGTAGTTGTAGTGGTAATAATAGTAGTGGTAGTGGTAATAATAGTAGTTGTACTGGTAGTGGTAATAATAGTAGTGGTAGTGGTAATAATAGTAGTGGTAGTGCCAATAATAGTAGTGGTAGTGGTACCAATAGTAGTGGTAGTGGTAATAATAGTAGTAGTAGTGGTAATAATAGTAGCGGTAGTGGTAATAGTAGTAGTAGTAGTGGTAATAATAGTAGTAGTGGTAATAATAGTAGGGGTAGTGGTAATAATCTTAGTGGTAGTGGTAATAATAGTAGTGGTAGTGGTAATAATAGTAGTTGTAGTGGTAATAATAGTAGTGGTAGTGGTAATAATAGTAGTATTAGTAGGTATAATATAGTAGTAGTGGTAATAATAGTAGTGGTAGTGGTAATAATACTAGTAGTGGTAATAATAGTAGGGGTAGTGGTAATAATCTTAGTGGTAGTGGTAATAATAGTAGTGGTAGTGATAATAGTAGTAGTAGTGGTAATAATAGTTGTGGTAGTGGTAATAATAGTAGTGGTAGTGGTAATAATAGTAGTAGTAGTGGTAATAATAGTTGTGGTAGTGGTATAATATAGTAGTAGTAGTGGAAAATAATAGTAAATAGTATTTAGTAGTGGTAATAATGGTTGTGGTAGTGGTAATAATAGTAGTAGTAGTAGTAATAATAGTTGTGTGTAGTGGTAATAATAGTAATGTAGTGTAATAATAGTGGGGTAGTAAGTTGGTAGAATAATAGTTGTGGTATGTGGTAGTAATATAGTTGTGGTAGTGGTAATAATAATAGTACTAGTGGTAATAATAGTTGTGGTAGTGGTAATAATAGCGGTAGTGGTAATAATAGTAGTAGTAGTGGTAATAATAGTTGTGGTAGTGGTAATAATAGTAATGGTAGTCGTAATAATAGTAGTAGTAGTGATAATAATAGTAGTATTAGTAGTAATAATAGTTGTGGTAGTGGTAATAATAGCAGTGGTAGTGGTAATAATAGTTGTGGTAGTGGTAATAATAGTTGTGGTAGTGGTAATAATAATAGTATTAGTGGTAATAATAGTTGTGGTAGTGGTAATAATAGTTGTGGTAGTGGTAATAATAGCGGTAGTGGTAATAATAGTAGTAGTAGTGGTAATAATAGTTGTGGTAGTGGTAATAATAGTAGTATTAGTGGTAATAATAGTTGTGGTAGTGGTAATAATAGTAGTAGTAGTGTTAATAATAGTTGTGGTGATGGTAATAATAGTGGTATTGGTGATAATAGTATGGTAATAATAGTTGTGGTAGTGGTAATAATAGTAGTAGTAGTGGAAATAATAGTAGTAGTAGTAGTGGTAATAATGGTTGTGGTAGTGGTAATAATAGTAGTAGTAGTAGTAATAATAGTTGTGGTATGGTAATAATAGTTAATGGTAGTCTGTAATTAATAGTAGTAGTGTAGTGGTAATAATAGTTGTGGTAATGTGTAATAATAGTTGTGGTAGTGGTAATAATAATAGTAGTAGTAGTGTAATAATAGTTGTGGTAGTGGTAATAATAGCAGGTAGTGGTAATAATAGTAGTAGTAGTGGTAATAATAGTTGTGGTAGTGGTAATAATAGTAATGGTAGTCGTAATAATAGTAGTAGTTAGTGATAATAATAGTGTGGTAGTGTAATTAATGTGTGGTAATATATAGTTAGTGGGTATAGTTGGGTAGTGGTAATAATCAGTTGGTAGTGGTAATAATAGTTGTGGTTATAGTGTAGGGTAATAATAGTTGTGGTAGTGGTAATAATAATTAGTATATAGTGGTAGTAATAATAGTTGTGGTAGTGGTAATAATATTGTGGTTAGTGGTAATAATAGCTGGTAGTGGTAATAATAGTAGTTAGTGTAGTGGTAATAATAGTTGTGGTATAGTGGTAATAATAGTAGTATAGTGGTAATAATATAGTTGTGGTATGTTGGTAGTGAATAATAGTAGTAGTAGTGTTAATAATAGTTGTGGTGATGGTAATAATAGTGGTATTAGTGATAATAGTATTGGTAATAATAGTTGTGGTAGCTGTAATAATAATAGTGGTAATAATAGTGGTAGTGGTAATAATCGTAGCATCAGTATTAGTAGTAGTAATAATAGTAGTAGCAGTAATGGTAATAATAGTAGTAGTAATAATAGCAGTAGTGGTGGAATAATAGTAGTAATAATGGCAGTAGTAGTGGTAATAATAGTAGTGGTAGTGGTAATAACAGCAGTAGTAGTGGTAATGGTAGCGGTAATAATAGTAATAGCAATAGTAATAGTGGTAATAGTAATAGTGGTAATAATAATAGTAACAGTAGTGGTAATAATAGCAGTAGTGGTAATAATAGTAGTGACAGTAGTGGTAATAATAGTAGTAGTGGTAATAGTAGTGGTAGTGGTAATAACAGCAGTAGCAGTAATAAATTTGTTATCATTTATTAACTAAGTGTGATATTGATTTTTATCTTTGTTCTACCTTGATTCACTTCACATTACGAGACAAAATGTTTGTACAACAAGTCTGCAGGAAGATAACGATCTTCCTTTTACCTCTGAAGGACTCCCTCACCTCGTGCTTCTCACTCACCACTCCACTTTATCGCGGTATTTCCCACACTCCTTGGATGACCCGGGAGCTGGAGTGAGGCTTACAGGTTGGTGCTGGAGTGGCGGCAGAACTCGAACTTGTAGATTCTTTGTGTGTTGAATAGGGCTGTCAGTCGGTTGGTGGGTGACGTTGGTGTGTGGTTGTGGACTCGGAGGAGCAGATATTGGGCTGCAGTTCATGGAATGAATCTGAAGTTTCGATGCGGATATTTCCTCATGATTAAAGGAACCATCTGAGGGACTTCCGCTTATGTTGTGGCAGAGTTTGGGCGTCCTGGGCGCTCTGTTTAAAGATAACTTTTGTGAGTGTTCCTTTGAGTTGGAGCTGCTTGAAAAAGTCTTAGAAGGTATCAGGTTTTGCGACCAGGCCTGGTTGTGGACCAGGCCGCGGGGGTGTTGATCCCCGGAATACCCTTCAGATAGGTAGGTTTGTGAAGCAGCCTTTCGCTGCAGCGTGGGTGGGTGCGCTAGTGTCTTGAGCGGGGGAGACTTACACCAGGCTTCTTTGCCTGTCTGGGTTGATAAACATGGCGTTTCCTTATTGTTCGACTTTTGAAGTAAATGTTCATTCGAGCAATATTTCACCTGATGGTAGTCTTCTCTGCTCAGACTGTATGGGACTGCGATTGCTGGTACCTGATCTGAACTCAAATTACGGTCCACTGGCTGGAATTCTGAAGTTATCTTTTTCTTTTTTGGTGTTTCATTTTGTATATCAGTGCTGCTTAGTTTCTGAAGTTGTTTTAACATACCTTTGTTACTGTAGGTAGTGTTCTCGACCTCCCCACCAGGTATCCCAGGATGGCTTCGCTCTTGTTCTTTGTACTGACTGCAGTTAAGATTTTTCTTGGACTTTCTGGTTATTTTATATTCTCGTCCATTTTTCTTACTATACCTTTCATTAGCTTTTCCCATTTTGCCTGTGTGTTGCTGACTGTTCACGACGAGGCCTCCACAGCTCTCCTGAATGGCTAATTTTTCCTGATGTTTATCTGAATCTTTGAAGCAACGGTGTTTCTTGGGGCTGCGAGCAACTTCGTGAAGATGTCTGTGAGGCTGAGAGTGCCTCCTGGACAAGTGAATGTTTTCTCTGCTTCTTGAAGTAATGCCCTTCAGCCCTGGAGGAGCAATATTTCTAATATCTAAATTATCCTTGTGTGAGTAAGAGGCTACATTTCTGTTGTCATAAGCATCTTTACTAGGTGGTAGCCATTTCTGGTCTCTAGAAGAAGAGCCACTGCTGCCATGACCAGTCTTACATCTAGAGCTCCAAATAACGCACACTGAAACAGGACTTTTATTGCCAGTGTTTTCTGTTTCATCAGAAATGTCTATGTTGTTTTCAGTTCGGAGCTCTGATGGTGAACTTTTGCTTCCCGAAGGATACTGACATTCAGCAGCACCAGAAGTAAAGTCGTCTACACAAGCCCTTTTGTCAGATGATGACTTCCTTTCCATCTCTTCCTGCACTGCCTCCTTTTCCTCTACCGAAGGAGCATGGAAGGATATCATAGGTGGACGTCTTCTCAGTGATGCCTCACAAATGGACACGGAGCTCATGTTCCACCAGGAATGTGGTGACTCGTCACGTAATTGTTTGTCGCCGCGCTGGCCCCGGCTTCTCTTGCAACCGTTCCATATGTAAGCGATAGCAACACAGAATGCTAGGAACGTCATCATGACGGCAAGACACACCCACAGCCATACCTGCGAGAACCTGTCCTTGGACCACTTATCTGAAACCAAAGTTACCGTGATCTAATTGATGAAGAAATATTATATTGAAAATATGATGATGATAATTACGTTTATAATGCTGATTATGATGTGATAATTAAAATAAATTAAGTTTTGAAGTGAAGCGAAATGAACAAGTGAACAACATGAATAAGTGAACAGCATGAACAAGTGAACAACATGAACAAGTGTGCAGCATGAACAAGTGAACAGCATGAACAAGTGAACAACATGAACAAGTGAGCGACATGAACAAGTGAACAGCATGAACAAGTGAACAGCATGAACAAGTGTACAACATGAACAAGTGTACAACATGAACAAGTGTACAGCATGAACAAGTGAACAGCATGAACAAGTGAACAACATGAACAAGTGTACAACATGAACAAGTGTACAACATGAACAAGTGTACAGCATGAACAAGTGAACAGCATGAACAAGTGTACAACATGAACAAGTGTACAACATGAACAAGTGTACAACATGAACAAGTGTACAACATGAACAAGTGTACAGCATGAACAAGTGTACAACATGAACAAGTGTACAACATGAACAAGTGTACAACATGAACAAGTGAACAACATGAACACGTGTACAACATGAACAAGTGTACAACATGAACAAGTGTACAACATGAACAAGTGTACAACATGAACAAGTGTACAACATGAACAAGTGTACAACATGAACAAGTGAACAGCATGAACAAGTGAGCATGAACAAGTGTACAACATGAACAAGTGTACAACATGAACAAGTGTACAACATGAACAAGTGAACAACATGAACACGTGTACAACATGAACAAGTGTACAACATGAACAAGTGTACAACATGAACAAGTGTACAACATGAACAAGTGTACAGCATGAACAAGTGTACAACATGAACAAGTGTACAACATGAACAAGTGTACAACATGAACAAGTGTACAGCATGAACAAGTGTACAGCATGAACAAGTGTACAACATGAACAAGTGTACAACATGAACAAGTGTACAACATGAACAAGTGTACAACATGAACAAGTGTACAACATGAACAAGTGTACAGCATGAACAAGTGTACAGCATGAACAAGTGTACAACATGAACAAGTGTACAACATGAACAAGTGTACAACATGAACAAGTGTACAGCATGAACAAGTGTACAGCATGAACAAGTGTACAACATGAACAAGTGTACAACATGAACAAGTGTACAGCATGAACAAGTGTACAACATGAACAAGTGTACAACATGAACAAGTGAACAGCATGAACAAGTGAGCATGAACAAGTGTACAACATGAACAAGTGTACAACATGAACAAGTGTACAACATGAACAAGTGAGCATGAACAAGTGTACAACATGAACAAGTGTACAACATGAACAAGTGTACAACATGAACAAGTGAGCATGAACAAGTGTACAACATGAACAAGTGTACAGCATGAACAAGTGAACAACATGAACACGTGTACAACATGAACAAGTGTACAACATGAACAAGTGTACAACATGAACAAGTGTACAACATGAACAAGTGAACAGCATGAACAAGTGAGCATGAACAAGTGTACAACATGAACAAGTGAACAACATGAACACGTGTACAACATGAACAAGTGTACAACATGAACAAGTGTACAGCATGAACAAGTGTACAACATGAACAAGTGTACAACATGAACAAGTGAACAACATGAACAAGTGTACAACATGAACAAGTGTACAACATGAACAAGTGTACAACATGAACAAGTGAACAACATGAACAAGTGTACAACATGAACAAGTGAACAACATGAATAAGTGTACAACATGAACAAGTGTACAACATGAACAAGTGTACAACATGAACAAGTGAACAACATGAACAAGTGTACAACATGAACAAGTGTACAACATGAACAAGTGTACAACATGAACAAGTGAACAACATGAACAAGTGTACAACATGAACAAGTGAACAACATGAACAAGTGTACAACATGAACAAGTGTACAGCATGAACAAGTGTACAACATGAACAAGTGTACAGCATGAACAAGTGTACAACATGAACAAGTGTACAGCATGAACAAGTGAACAACATGAACAAGTGTACAACATGAACAAGTGTACAACATGAACAAGTGTACAGCATGAACAAGTGTACAACATGAACAAGTGTACAGCATGAACAAGTGTACAACATGAACAAGTGTACAGCATGAACAAGTGTACAACATGAACAAGTGTACAGCATGAACAAGTGTACAACATGAACAAGTGTACAACATGAACATGTGTACAACATGAACAAGTGTACAACATGAACAAGTGTACAACATGAACAAGTGTACAGCATGAACAAGTGAACAAGTGAGCAAGGTGAACAACAAGCGAGCAAGAGCAGGATGAGCAGGTGAACAACATGAACAAGTGTGAAACATGAATAAGTGAACGACTGTGCAACATGAACAGCAAGTGAACAAGAGATGAATATGAACAACAAATGAGCAGGATGAACAACAAGTTAACAAGAGATGAACATGAACAAGTAAACAAGTGAGCAGCATGAACAAGTGAACAAGCAGGATGAACAAGTGAACAAAGCAACATGAACACCAAGTGAATAAGTGAGAAGGTGCAGGATGAACACATGAACAAGTAAGCAGGATGAACAAATGAGCAAGTAAGCAGGATGAACATGTGAATAAGCAGGATGAACAAGTGAACCAGCAGGATGAACAAGTGAACAAGCAGGGTGAACAAGTGAACCAGCAGGATTAACAAGTGAACAAGCAGGATGAACAAGTGAGCAAGCAGGATGAACAAGTGAACAAGCAGGATGAACAAGTGAGCAAGCAGGATGAACAAGTGAACAAGCAGGATGAACAAGTGAACAAAGCAGTATGAACAAGTGAGCAAGCAGGATGAACAAGTGAACAAAGCAACATGAACACCAAGTGAATAAGTGAGAAGGTGCAGGATGAACACATGAACAAGTAAGCAGGATGAACAAATGAGCAAGTAAGCAGGATGAACATGTGAATAAGCAGGATGAACAAGTGAACCAGCAGGATGAACAAGTGAACAAGCAGGGTGAACAATTGAACCAGCAGGATTAACAAGTGAACAAGCAGGATGAACAAGTGAGCAAGCAGGATGAACAAGTGAACAAGCAGGATGAACAAGTGAGCAAGCAGGATGAACAAGTGAACAAGCAGTATGAACAAGTGAGCAAGCAGGATGAACAAGTGAACCAGCAGGATGAACAAGTGAACCAGCAGGATGAACAAGTGAACAAGCAGGGTGAACAAGTGAACCAACAGGATTAACAAGTGAACAAGCAGGATGAACAAGTGAGCAAGCAGGATGAACAAGTGAACAAGCAGGATGAACAAGTGAGCAAGCAGGATGAACAAGTGAACAAGCAGTATGAACAAGTGAGCAAGCAGGATGAACAAGTGAACCAGCAGGATGAACAAGTGAACCAGCAGGATGAACAAGTGAACAGGCAGGATGAACAAGTGAGCAGGTGCAGGATTATGATGCAGTGTGCAGCATTTAAAATACTGTACAAATTTATATAAGAAATAACGCTCCACATGTCATTTTCCGTGTTTGTACTGAATCTGAACGCGTATTATTCCTGGTGGGTCAGTGTGGCCAGGACAGGAGCAGGTGAGGTGTGTTTAGTTCAGTACGAAACGGGTGGTGACGGGGGTGAAGTCACCATGTTTGAGCGGTAGTTTGAGTAGGTAATTCTGGTAAATTTTTTAGTGTATACTATAGGTGTTTGTGTTTCAGTGCTCTCATGTTTATTTATAAGGCCCTAGTATGCAGAGGCCTGTTTATGCGAGAATACTGTATAGTGTTTTGCCTGCTGGTAATTAGTCTACCAGACAGAAGTGAAGACGGGGGTGTGTGTGTCATGGTGCCTTCCTGATCACTTATTTTAACTCATTACTAGCAAAGAGACCTGGACAGGCTGGACATGTTGTCCAGCAATTGGCTTCTTGAATTCAACCCTGCCAAATGCAAAGTCATGAAGCTCGGGGAAGGGCACAGAAGACCGCAGACAGAGTATAGACTAGGTGGCCAAGGACTGCAAACCTCGCTCACATTAGCACACTGGAGTTTACCTGGAGAGAGTTTCGGGGGTCAACGCCCCCGCGGCCCGGTCTGTGACCAGGCCTCCTGGTGGATCAGCGCCTGATCAACCAGGCTGTTGCTGCTGGCTGCACGCAAACCAACGTACGAGCCACAGCCCGGCTGATCAGGAACTGCCTTTAGGTGCTTGTCCAGTGCCAGCTTGAAGACTGCCAGGGGTCTGTTGGTAATCCCCCTTATGTGTGCTGGGAGGCAGTTGAACAGTCTCGGTCCCCTGACACTTATTGTATGGTCTCTTAACGTGCTAGTAACACCCCTGCTTTTCATTGGGGGGATGGTGCATCGTCTGCCAAGTCTTTTGCTTTCGTAGTGAGTGATTTTCGTGTGCAAGTTCGGTACTAGTCCCTCTAGGATTTTCCAGGTGTATATAATCATGTATCTCTCCCTCCTGCGTTCCAGGGAATACAGGTTCGCAGGAGGGAGAGATACATGATTATATACACCTGGAAAATCCTAGAGGGACTAGTACCGAACTTGCACACGAAAATCACTCACTACGAAAGCAAAAGACTTGGCAGACGATGCACCATCCCCCCAATGAAAAGCAGGGGTGTTACTAGCACGTTAAGAGACCATACAATAAGTGTCAGGGGACCGAGACTGTTCAACTGCCTCCCAGCACACATAAGGGGGATTACCAACAGACCCCTGGCAGTCTTCAAGCTGGCACTGGACAAGCACCTAAAGGCAGTTCCTGATCAGCCGGGCTGTGGCTCGTACGTTGGTTTGCGTGCAGCCAGCAGCAACAGCCTGGTTGATCAGGCGCTGATCCACCAGGAGGCCTGGTCACAGACCGGGCCGCGGGGGCGTTGACCCCCGAAACTCTCTCCAGGTAAACTCCAGTGTGC